CCCGCGGCCCTGCCTGCAAAGCCCCTGCCTGCAGCCCCTGCCCGCAAAGCCCCTGCCTGCAACCCCTGCCCGCGGCCCTGCCTGCAAAGCCCCTGCCCGCAGCCCTGCCTGCTGCCCTGCCCGCTGCCCCCGGTGCACAAAGCCCCTGCCCGCAGCCCCTGCCTGCAGCTGCAGCTCTCGGGAGGGTTGCGCAGCCCTCGCAGCCGGCAGCAGCCCGAGTGGATCCATGCCCAAATGCCATCGCAGGCAGGCGATGCCAGCGCTAATTAGAACTCTCCAGCCTAAGTCTTGACTTCAGGCTGGTCATTACACCCCTAAGCCGGATGCGGGCGGGCAGGGGTGCGTGGTGTCGGCACAGCATCACCGGGAAGCACGTGCCTTCGTGCCAGTTGCCTCCCACGTGCGGTGTGGATGAACACTTGGGCATAGAGCACTCTGCAGCATAAACCGCAAGACACTGATTTAATGTTGGTTTTTTAATCTTTCTGTGCCCCTTTCGCCTTAGCGGAGATTGAGAAACCCTCCTCTGACAGCGGGTGCTGCTTGCAGAAGTGACAGGCAACCCTGGAATAAGAGTTTGGTTTCTGTAGAGACGAACCCTGTGATAGACAGACATGCTTTCTAATTTGGGATTTTGTGATGTGGGTGGATGCTGTAGATAAACCAGTTGCCAGGAATTGTCATCCCAGTGCTCACCTCCCCCACAGCAGTTACTGGCTAGGCAGACTGAATGGCCAGAAGTGCTGAAATCCTCAGTTTTGCATCTGTAGAGCAAATGGCTGCAAACCTTGTCCGTGCAGCCTTGCCTGTGCAGGGCCCGCGCCAGCTCGGTGCTGACACAGCTCCTGCCCGTGCCTCTGCTGCAGCGTCTTTCTCCTTTCAGATTGCCATCTGAGCTGTGACCCACTTTGGTCCTGCTTTGAAGGAGACGGGAGGCGGCGGGGACGCAGCGGGGATGGATGCGGTTATGTCAGTGGGAGTTTTCTGCAGGCTGCGGTGTGGAAGGTATGCCCTGATCCCTGCTCTCAGTTCGGGTCAGCTTTGGGGGAAACACGTAAAACCCACCATCTGCCCGAGGGACCCAGAAACATCATACACAGCCACGTCTTCTCACAGAGCTGTTCAAATAACCAGCCCCGCTGAAATGACAACCTGCTATTTCAGCCCACTTTTTAATGTTCTTTCACACGCTTTTGACTAGAGGTTTACATAACCCTCTGCCAAGTCCTTCCCACATGCGGGGACTTAAAACTCCGGAAGAGGAAATATTGTAAAGGAATACGTTACCTTGATAGGTTCAGCACCAAAACACCGGAGAAGAAACCCACCTCCCTCCTTCCTCCCAGATTTTGTCTGGCTCGTATGCCACGCACACACTTTCAGTTTTTCTTACGGACAGATAAAGGTATCGTTCTTACCACGTCTCCACAGAGGGAAACCTTTGTCCCAGTCCACAGAGCACTGGTGATACAGCAGCTGAGTGTACGTTTTTTTGTTCTCTCCTAGCTGTCTGCATTGCAGTGCTACCGAGGTTACAAGGTACCAGGATTGCTCCACGCTCCTCCTTGCACAGCTAGAACCTACTTACCCCTTTTCCCTGGCAACTGACAGGGGAGGGAAATGAGCGTTAGAGCAAACAGGATGCAACAAACAATACAGTTTTGTTCCTGATGCAATTCTTGCTACTGAAATACAAAGAATAAAGTTTCAGCCAGCTCCACGGATTCCTAACTGAAGCTGGCTGCTGGCTGCTGCTTTTCACGCACCTGTAAGCAGTGACTTGCTGCAGCGCCTCTGCTGATAACACCACGTCCTCAAAAAAGCAGCAGGGCTGACGCATCAGTGCCCTGTTTGTCTATTGCCACCTTACTCAAGTGACGGCAGCAGAAAGAGCTGTGAAAGCCCATCAGTGGCGGGGAGGGAGACCTGCCCTAGGGTTCTGTATGCAGTATAGTAACAGGGCATCAGTCTGTTCATTGTGATCTGCTTTATCTCCCGGTATAGCCACCGATCCTCAAAAGTCAGATTTCAATGCTGTATCCGAAGCACGGATAGCTTGGCCTGGCTGCTCTCTGCCTGACAAGAGGACAAAATAAAATAGCAACCAAGCGTTTACCCGTCCCAGAACATTCAGCTGTCTCCTGGCTCACCTTGGACAGGGCTGTTTTTGCAGGCTGACCGCCACACGTGATCACGGACACATCCAACGAGCTGCAAAGGTCAGTCCCATGCACACAGCCCCGTCTGGGAATGATGTGGGATCTGCCGGGTGCCTTCAGGACATCGGCTGGCCATCAGCCCGCAGAGCGCACGGTCAGGGCACTCCCAGCCTCGGGTGTGCCAAAGACCCCTTCCAGACCCCTTCCAAAACACGGCCACCGGCCCTAGAGCCACGGCTGAAGGCTCCTGGAGCATCTGCACTGCTTGGGAGGCAATGGGGACCACTGGACCGCGGGGCACCCCCCAAACAAGCATTCTCGGAGGTAACTTGCTGCATTTATCCCTAACCTCGGCCGATGAGGCAGCCTGGCTGGTGTTTTGGTCTAAGTTACACAACCTTGCCCACAACTTCTTTTTAAAGAAAAGAGACTTTGAGACGTCTTAATTACAAAATAACATTTAAAAGTTGTCAGGGTTTATTATCTTGTCACACACAGTAATGATCCACTTAACGTGTTGTAACCAGAAGGTTAACAGTAGGCTGAGCCGTTCCCTTCCCCTCCATATTGTACAGTGCCACGAGTACGGCGTTGCAGTGGAATGCAAAACTTGCAGTATGTGGAAGTACCTTACAATTAAAAAGTGGATTTTTACCCAAGTGACCTGGAAAGCGTTTCAAAGCATCCTGCCGTTTCGGGTTGCTCTGCTCTGACATCGTTTCTCTGCTTGTACCCGTCCTTTTCAGCGCCAGAACCGAGATTTCCAGGCTGTGTTCCCGTGCCCACGGGGGACACCACGGACTGGCTCTTCACGACAGAGGAGGAACAGCATGACGTGACATCCACTTGCATTGACTGGGCTACCAGCGTGGTCCCTTTCTGCAGCACTTCAGTGTAACTACTTGAGTGCACTAAAACCAAACAAAACCCCACGACGACACACAAGTTTTTATGGTGAGGAAGCTGAAAATACACGCAGTGACTGACAAGCCCAGAGTCTTGGTTTGTGGCTGCACATTGCAGTACCGTTGTGACCACATCTGACAAGTGTTCCAGCTGTGGCTGCAGGAGGCACCTATAGATCGGGCCTGGTTTGGGGAATTTTGTACAGTGATTTTCTTCCTGCTGATGAAGAGGATGCAGATCCCCACAGAGACCTCTACAGCGTAAGTACCTCGAATGGTTCTGCTTTTCCAAAGCCTGGAACGAACAAACAATTCAGTTTGCTGCTTAGACCTCTTAATTTGTCCATTGCCAAGTTATTTGTTGGGGCTGGGCTTCTGGGTTGGGGTGGGGTTTTTTGGTGGTTTTGTTTTGTTTGTTTTTTTAACTCGGGGCTTATTGCTATTCCATTGTCAATAGTGCGTAGCAGAAAGAGCTGAGATTTAACAGAACTAAAACTCTTTGGAACCTCAACAACAGACTGTGTGTTGTGACTGATGTGCTTTCACAATCCCTTTCTTTCCAGTTTTTCTAGTATGGCCTGAATTCTGTGGACGGACTCTTTCCTGGCCTGCCGAACACTGTCCTGGCCACCAGTCTCGATGGAATCCAGTTCCAACAGCAGCTTGGTCAACATCTCCTCCAGAAGCCGGTAGGATTTATCTGTCTTTTTTCCTACAAATTCATCCACCTCTTGCTCCAGCTGTTCAGCCTCCCCCATAACCTGGAGGATTCTCTGAATCTCTGGCTGGATGGCTGCAGAATTTGTTGAAGGCTGGTCACCAGGTTTAAAGCCAGCCTCCCGGTTCCCAGCCAAAGGCTTCCGAGATGCACTGTCGTACATTTGGGGCTGTGCGCTGTACTGCACCTTGGGGTTTGAGGGGGATGGCTTGGCGTTGAGCGGAGTGGCTGGCTTGTGGTCATTCATTGTCCCAGAGTGCTGGTGATTGACATCAGAGTAGTAGTTGTGTAGGTTTGCACTTTGCTCGGGTTTGTCGTAAGCAGTATCCTACAGTCAGAAGGAAAAAAAAAAAAAAAAAATCTTTTAAGTGCATTTCCCTTAAAGCCAGGTTTTTAATCTTGCACTCAAAAGGCAGGCAAGCAGGGCTGAGGGAATTGGGCAGCAGGTGACACCGTGACTGCTTTGAGGTGTGCATGCTTGGGAGGACAGGGCAGACCGGATTAGGCATGACATTACCAGGGATCTGGGCAGCATTTTCGAGACTGTCACACACCGTGATGTCATAACACATGACGTCCCTGCGGGCTGGTACCCTGTGTCCTGCCAAGCGGGCTGGTTTCTGCAAGAAGTCCCAAAAAGGGACGCGGGACCCATGCTTCAGTCCCTGGCCGTTAAAGAGCAGATCCCCAGCAAGAGGCACATGTCTAGAAGAAACGGTGCGAGCCACTGAACGCTCGTTACCCACGAATAGGGAAGATGCTAAATAGGTTTCAACACGGTCCCATTTGGATATTCTGGAGGAGAGACTTCTCCGCAGCTAGCACACTTTTGAACCGTTCCCAAAGAACAGCAGCCCCCACCCCTGAACCCACACATCCCCCCATCAGGGCTGCTGCCGCACATGCCAGCGCTGCTGCCTGGGGACCAAACCTCTGGAGAGTCATTTGACTCCTGATCAAACCCAGAGGAAGCTGAGATGAACAGACCCCACCAAATGCATCCTTTCCTTAGATTTTTTGCTTAAAACATTCCTCAGCAGAGGATGACTGTGCCCAAACCAAGCACTTGTAGAGGAATACCAGAGTCTGCAAACTGACCCGCAGGTTAGTCCCACACTCTACAGGAGGATTTCTGGCAGCGTTAGCTGCTTGAGAGAAAAGAGTTGGACAAGCGAGACAAGGTCTGACCCGTTTCAAGACCTGCCCTGGGACATCTGGTATCTCCAGTACCTTTCTGGAATTACAGCCGTGGATTTTGGTTTTCTGTATGCAAACAGGAGATTTTGCTGGCAGTACTCCGGATACCTGCTGCTTTGTTTCTGAGGAGGATTTCTGGCAGCGTTAGCTGCTTGAGAGAAAAGAGTTGGACAAGCGAGACAAGGTCTGACCCGTTTCAAGACCTGCCCTGGGACATCTGGTATCTCCAGTACCTTTCTGGAATTACAGCCGTGGATTTTGGTTTTCTGTATGCAAACAGGAGATTTTGCTGGCAGTACTCCGGATACCTGCTGCTTTGTTTGTACCTAAACTAACTGTGCTTGGCAAAAGGGGCATTCCCAGGAGACAGAGGCAAGCTTTGAGGAAAGCTGTATGATCTAGGAGGTCTGACCGCAGCCGGGACCCAGCCCAGGCACGTGCTGTAGAAGCATCAGCTGTACCTTTGAGTCCCACGCCGGAGGGTGGGAAGGAGCTCCGCTGCCAGTCCAGGATGGGTGCGAATCGGAGACGAACGGGTTCCCGTGTGCCGAAGCAGCGGGCCACGCGTAACGCGGCTGCACCCCATAGACGGTGGGGGGAGCCCACGTGTCTTCCAGGGGTCTGGGCTGCGGCGGAGGCCCCTGCGGCGTGACCCCTGGGTTGTTGTCTCCATATGGATACTGTGGGATGGGCATTCCCGGGGTCTGCAAGAAGAGGGGGAACAGACATAACCCCTGGAGTCGTTCCAAGCACCGCTCCCTCCAGACAGCCCTGGGAACAGCCGCGGCATCAGGCTTGCTGCCTGATTCCTGCTTTCCTAGCCCACAAGCTTGGATTCTCTGGAGAATGGGGTGACCACCAGTTTTTATAAGAATAAAACCAGGCAGGGCAAGCTGCCCAAGGCACAACAGCCATTAGGACCCACGGATCCATCGGAGGAGGCACCGTGGGCTTTCCCTCCGCTGGGGCCCCATAAAACAACTTCTCGTGCCGCGGGAACTTCAAGCCCAGCAGCTGCACTGACACCAGGGGCTGCCGGGGCTGGAAATTGCTGTGGCCGGTGCCTGGCCTCTTACCTGCGGTGGGGAGTAGCCCGGAACCTGCTGCCTCCTGAGAGAGGACCCTTCGGCGGGGCAGTCCGGCGGGGCGTAGCTCCAGGGGGGAGCGGGCGACGGGGGCCGGTACATGCCCGTGGACTCCGCAGGGTAGGGCGTCTGCGGGAGCCCGGAGCAGTAGTACCCCTGTGTCTGCGGCAGGCCGGCGTAGTGCGGGGCAGCACCGGGAGCTGGAGGGTACGGGGGGCTGTAGGCTCCGTTTGCGTAGGGAGAGTCCATTGCCTGGGGAGGAGGGAAGAGCAGAGGAAAGGTGATGGGACACAGGGCAGAGGGGCTCCGGTCTGGCCCAGCAGCAGCCCGGGGAAAGACGACTGACCCTTCCTGCAGCGTTTAACTAGGGGATTCCTTCGTCCCCAAGCTGATTTGTCCTAGTTTTAGGTTTTCCTGCTCTAACGTGGCTTTCTGTTGGCCACTGTCAATAAACGCCTGTCTGCCTCACACTTCGGTCCCACTGCCCTCGCAGCACGCTCAGGGAGTCGGGCAGCGTCGGGGGCATTACAGGGGGATAGATTTGCCTGGAGCGTGGGAAGAGAGGGGATACACTAAGCTTGGCCCTGCTTCACTCAGCTAAGCTTTGGTCAGAAATACGCGTACAATTCTTCGCAGCAAGCAGCCCTTACGAGGTTCAACCACGTCAATGTAGTCACCGACTGGTGGATGAAAAACACTCCAGGAAAGTTCATTTCCTCTTTCAGTTTGCAAACAGAAATGGTGCAAGCGGACGAGATCTACCAGTTCTGGGGCCCGAGGAGCCGGGTGTTCAGATCAGCGAGCCGCAGGTCGTGCTGCAGCCGTGGGAGCAGTCGGGTTTGAGAACTTGTCGTACGAAAGGTCTGTATGTCCAGAACATTTGTGAGAATGTATCTGAATACATTCAAGTAGTCAGTGTATACTGAACGTGAGCTTCCATCTAACCACAAGGGCGACAATTAAGTGTTAGGATTTCAGGAGCTCACGGATGACTCCCTGTAGCTTTGGGCAAAGCAGTTTTTTGCCAGTGAGCTGTTTCACGGAGGAGAGATTGTATCACCTGCGTGCCAGGATTTATGAAAGAGCCGGCTCAAACCTACACGTCCCGTAGGATCAAAACAAACCACAGTTATGTCTGGGCAGCAGACAACCTCTCTGGAAAGAGTAAAGCCTTTCCCTTCACACAGCATTTGCGCAATGGCCCCTAAAAAAAGCTATTGCTGCAATAAGAAGGACAAATAACAGATCCCGGGAAGAGCAAATCATGGGACCGAGGCGCAGCGGGACCGGCAATGCTTTTTCCCCCCCTCTGCCCCGAGCTGCCGCCCTGGCGCGGCCGGCTCCTTTCCGCCGGTGGGGTCTGTCGTACAAATGCCGCCGCTCACGTGGCTGGCATCTTTAGCCTGCCGTGCCTTGGAAGAGGGGGACGTGGCAGGGATTGGATCCTCAAGCCCCACACTCACACCGGGGGAGAGGCCGTTCTGTCTGTCGGTGAAGGGTCGGTCAGCCGGGACCGGGACACGTCCTGGCCGGCGATGCCCAGCTCTCACCAGTCATCTCGGCAGCAAACCAGCCAAGGATGGCGGCGTTTCCCCGGTGATCTCTTTGTTAAAATGCATGCCCTAGAAACGTCACCTTGAACTCGATACGAAGGTAAAACTTTACCACGTTCGTCATTTCATGTATTTTTCTCCAGTTAAACACCTGCCCAAACCCCATGGGACGGGAGAGCAGATTTTTAACGCAAACGGACCCTTTCGGAAATCGAGCTACGAGGGCTGAGAAAAATAAACAAACCAGGCTTTAGGAGGCAAGAGCCGTGAAGATCCGGACAGCACGTCACGGCTCGGTGACGTTTCCCTGCGACTCGGGCCGGGTGTATTTTGGCTGTATTTTTGTATTATCGGAGCTGGCCCGCAGAGCCGGGCTCCGTCCTCCCCCCGCCGCCTTACCCGGGTGGCGGAACCGTCCCGGTCGCGTCTGTAGGGTGGGAAACTCAGCTGCCCGTTAGCGGGGGGAGCAGAGACCAGGGCTGCGCTGCCCTCCTGCCCTGCCCTGCCCTCCTCCGCGGGACGGCCCCGGCGGGCAGCCCGCAACGAGGCGGCGCCCGCCCGGCAAGGGCCCACGCCCCGCGCGGGGCTCTGCCCCGGTCCC